ATATACGGGGTGTTCCATTTGAAAAATCAAAGAAGCCGCTACTTTATAGTAGAAGCGACAACGCCGCTTCGTCTGAAATATTTTAGGCGTGTAGGTCATATTGATTTATGCATACTGTGAAATTTTCAGGTTGATCCGTTAAATGGTTTGTCGGAAACGGCTAATTAACGCTCATCATGAAAAGCCCTGTATAACAGAGAACAATCTTATCATATTATGTTTCTTCCCAGTATGAGTTGTTTGTGATATCCTGATTTGAACTTGGTACAGGGGGATTCCCACCAGAAAGTTCTAGAGATTATCATTTTTTTTTGAAAACTTTCAAATTACTGGACAAAATAAATAATTAGCTATAAATGAAAGGTTTTTATAGAAAAGTAACTTACCTAAAACACAACAATCTGCCCCTCTGTAGAATGCAACACCTAATGACTGGAAACGTTCCTGGCCAGCAGTGTCCCAAATTTGCATTGTAACAGTTCGATCATCAACAGTTAGTTCTTTTGTTAAAAAATCTGCTCCAATCGTAGCTTTGTATTGGTTTGAAAATTTTCTATTAACATATTGGTTCATTAAGGATGTTTTTCCAACACTGGAATCCCCCAATATGATCACCTTCAATAATGTCTTCTTTCTGCTCGACATTTTATTCTGTTAAAAAGACAACAGTAATAGGATATGACTCAATAGGTAATTAACTAGTATATACAAGATTTCAATAACAAGTAAAAGTGACATCACATTATATTCAAACACAATGGAACACAAAATTATTAATCTTATAATCATTGATATATGATTTACCTAATTAATCGATAAATTAACAATGAAATAGAGGGGGCGTAAATATAAATTAACGAAGAAATACATCTTTACTTAAATTCAAATGAAAAATATTGTAAGATAATGACAATACATCAGCTGATTTTTACCAAAAAAGCTTTAGGATTGTTTCTGATAGTGTTTTTGAAGGTTGAATTTTCAGAAATAAATCTATCATTATTAACTTACTCTTCAAAATGCTATCTCGATAAGATTGAGGTTTGCTATCGAAAACACAACAAATTTTACTGCGTACAAAGCAATGACACACGAAAAATGGCGTTTCTTTATCTCTCCTTTTCTTCCGTGTTTATTTGTTAAGGCCCATGATAGGGGATTTATTTTTAGAACTAAAACTTATGGTGTTTCCGTTGGTGAAATAAATGCACAATGAGTGTGAGTCGAGTTGTCTAACTCTACAGAAAATTTCTGATGGATTGATTCAACCAATAGAAACGAGCAAACGCTTCAAACGGACCAATAGATGAATTTCATCGGATTCATTAGCGGTCTCATCGATGAATTCAAGAACTCGCTTTATTATATTAATTTGAAACAAGAGTTGATAAAGAATACAGCGGCTTCAAACGCGATATTGAATCGATTCTTCTTTGTTCGAATTTTGCAAAATTTTTACACGTTGCAAATCAGTTGAAATATTAATATTTGATTCTCACATTGAAAGAAATGAATGATGTATTACATGTCATCTTTCATTTATATTTGCTTCAGATATGGATGACTGGAATGATTCAATAATAATTATAATAATGACAAATATAATAATTATTCCATCAAAATACATACAATGAGCGGTACACAAAATACTGGTAAAGGTATATATTTATAAAATTATTACAATTATTACTGGTAAAGTATTAAAATTAATTATTTACCTCCCTCTCAGTGGTGAATTTTATTGATAGATGGATGAAATTGACAAATTCAGTGAACTTGCCTGATTGCCAATCTGTACCAGTAAAACAGACTAAGATATCATCTACGTATCTGTAATCTGTACCAGTACAAGAACATGAGTTCAATCATAAATACGACGTGTTACATTTAGAAGAGAAGAGTTTGAAACTTACTCTTCTAGAATGTTTAGAAATCAATAGAATTAGGAATTTGCATATGCTTTTGATGAAATTGAAGGTGATGTAAAACTTATTATGTGGTACTTGTGATGAACTGTTTGGAACTTTAGGTGTAGTAATGAATATTACTAGAGTTTTATCCCAACACCAAACCGTTATTTTAACACCTCGATAGGCCTAAAAAATGTTAACGACAATATGATCAATTTGTAGACTCAAAAGTAACAATTTTATAAGCTGCTATGTCACTCATTGAAATATACTGTTTGTTATAACTCCATTTTGCAGATAATCGTGTGTGTATCTATATCTATTGGTGTGAAAAAGTATGTTACTTGAACACTGGTGGATAAGCATTAATCCAAGATTGATCATTTGGACCCCTTCCTGTGTAAATAATAGTTTGAGGAAACACTCGATAAATAAAGAAATTCAACGTACTTTGTCATTCCATTTTTACAAAAATCGCTAAGAAAACACTGTTTATTTATTTGCATTTGGAAACGATTCTTGTTCAATTCATCAGCATGTGTACAAAAATCGTTAATCTTATATGTCGCGTTGAGGGATTTTTCCAAAGCAGAAGTTAATCGGTTTAAACACTTGGGTTTCTATGCATCTTCCTTTAATCACTAATCTAATTTTGTTTTACACATTTTTCGCAACAGTTGTAAGAAAGTCACTTTTTAATGTCTTCATCTTTTATTTCGGATTTACGTTTTTCAGACATTTAACTCAGAAATCTGACTTCAAATTCGGATTATGTGAATAAGGTCAGGTTAATTTGGGTTATCCCAAAAATAACGCCTAAATTTTGAGGTCAAAGTGAAAATTTCGACATTACATTGTAGAAAGTGAAGTTGACATTTTCCCATCTTTCAAATCAAAGGAGCCAAGTTCCAACTGTCATAAGACGTTCATTTGAGTTTGCTGGCAACCCGCGTTGCTCTAGATAGTAATGAGAGTTGTAATAATTCAGTCTTGAAATATTTGAAATCATGTAGTCATTACTGAGAATTCAAAATATAACCTTCGTAGTCAACTCACATACCAGTGATGATGTCTGCCGCAGTAGAAGACGAAAGAAACATTTCGTTCCATTCGACCAGGACATACCAGTCCGGATTTCTCTTGTACAAAAGTTTCTGTGTGTTTGGATCTACTGCAATGAATTGACACACATTTTGAGATCCAAGAACATAATTTCAAGTAGATTCTTTAAAAATCAGATGTGAAACATACCTTTAAAATAAACTTCATAGAGAATTTACTGAGAAAATTTGTATTTATGGAAGTTCATTTCATTTTCATTTTATTGAAACACATACAACCTATAAGCCAATAATCAACTGATATGTGCAAGTTTGTTACTAAATCCTCGCGCCACTTCTCTGACAGCATGGTTAGTTCAATTGTTGAGAGACAGATATCTGCTTCATGTCGGAATCAAACCCAATACAATTTTCTGATGAGAGCCTATTAAGATACAATATTGTAAATATATTTGAAAAGGTGCAACTTCAACGAAAATTAATAAAAACATTAAAATAGGAAAAATAGTCGACCCTACAAAAATGTGTATTATTTTGAAAAACAGAAACATTTATTTGAGATATCTCTTCATGCATATTAGATGCACAAGCCATATTACACAGAAAATTATAAAAATCATTTATGAGATGTGCTTGTTTAAAATACCCAAACTAGGAATGACGTATCACTGAGTTCAGCAGGTCCCATGAATTATATTAGTTTCAATTGGAATATCTAGTCTATTAAATTTAAGAATAGAAAGTGGTTTGTGTTCAATTCATTGTTAATAGGTGAAAGTATTTGTGATTGGGTCTTGCTTTTGGATTGTGCCTATAAGAAATATTTGAATATGTTGTTTACACTTTTTCCCAAGGGTATTTTTTCATTGCAAGTTTCATTTTTTGAAGTTTTTGGGAGTAATGTATAGTGAATTTACTCTTGAACAGACTTGAATTTTCATTTGGGTAGTATTTATTATTCAATTTAGAATATTTCCAACAAGTTTTAAATCATTACTATACAGAAACATTGATTTGTGAAAGGATTGCCAGAAAAATGTAAGAATTAAATAAATTCCTGTAAATACTACTACAAACTAAATTAAAATATTCTCCCCTATAAGGCATGGCACATACTAATTTTTGTGGAAGCACAACTGCTTTATAAGATTTATGAACTGAAAAGCCCTTCATATTTTTGTCATTAGGCAATCCTTATGTAATTATTTTTCGAATAAATAAAATAAAAACAATAAATATACATATAACTCACAGAGTATATACAGCTCTGTCTTTGAAAGTTTCATCACAACAATGGGAAATCTACGAATGTATTTTCGTTTTAATCTGATTTATTACTAGAATGAGCACCACTTTCACCCTCGTCTTCATCATCTTCCTCCTCTTCTAATAATTTTTTTGCCAATTGTAATGCGTGAAATTCGTTATAATGTTTTTTTCGTTTCATTTCAAATTCTCTCTTTCGTTCTTTTTCCTCTTCAGTCAGTTCTTCATCATCAGAGTCATCGGACTCTACCAGCATTGCTTTGGGTGGTTTATCTGCTCCTATTTTGATTCTACAAAATGACAGAATCATTAATATACCTCAATTGTATGTCTGTTACATCTTTACTTTTCTGCTAGGTCTTTTGCATCTAAACCATCAATATCATCCATTTCAGCATAATTGTATGGCGTTTTAGGTTCTGCTATTTTCATGTGACCATAATCTTTTCCCGGAGGATGAAGAGTTGCTATTATATTCATTTCGTCCCATTTCGTTTCTTTGGCTTTTCTATAATAAAAGAAAAATAAAAGTCATTGATTTAAAAAGAAAAAATCTTACCAAAACTGGTAATATCGAATATACGGTTGGTTCTCAGTTCTACTTACTTTGCATTAGGCTGCAAATCTTGTTTATCAAAACTACTAGAATTTTTTAAAATGCCTTTGGATGGCCTTTTTTGTAAATTTTCTGCCATTGTAAAACAAATGGTCAAGTTGCCAAATCTGTCTTAATTAATGTCAATTTCCAAGTTGATGTTTGATGTTTCTTGTCAAAATAGTTACACAGAACCATACAACATGAAAAAAAAATGTACCTGTACCACAAAACCCATGAACTTATGTCTATTTTTCAAGACACACACACACACACACACACAAATACAACATATTTGTATGGGAAGTTTGAGATTCATATTGGAACAAGTACAAATTTTAGAGGGGCCTACCTGGAGACACTTGGTGATCGAAACACGTGTCAAGGTATTAAAATAACGGTTTGGTGTTGGGAAAAAACTCCAGTTATATTCAAGGATGGAGTTACTAAGAATTTTCACCTTGCTTTTAACCGAGAAAGTGTCTGCTATCTTGAACCCATGGATTATTAGAAATGCCTCAAGAAATTGATGTTTATTTAATTCAAAAGTATTCAGTTGATTATATTCAGAATGATGAAAGCAGGAAAATAACATATCATTTATAGTGGTCATTTTCGTTCTAAGCCACAGAAATACTCTTCTATAAATACCAAATAAATACTACTTAAACTCTAAAAAAAAATCATTGTCACACAAAATGATTTACATTAAAAACTAAGTTAGAATATTTAACGATATAGTTATGTACACCCTTTAAATTTTATAAACAACTATTGCATTCAGAGATCGTTATTCGTTAAATGTCAACAGTCAAACTGTATGGTAGAGGGCGGAATAAGGTTCATTGTTGTTCTTTCAAAACATATTTGTGGTTTACCTACTACATTAAAGATAAAACAATTAGTCCTCTGTTGTTTTATTTCAATATGAATTTTAGAAAATTCAAAATTGATGGAAATTTAAATAGCTAAAAATGTGTTCGTGATTCATATCACGCATGCGTGAATTTATAAATAGTTCGTTTCAGTATCAAATTTCTGTGAAAATTTTCAGTCTCATCGTTTAAGTGGAGGGGTATAGTAGTTGCTCGTTGATGAGTGCAGTGCCAAATTGAATTAAATCGACGATTTTGTTATAAGGTGAGTGAAAAGTTTAATAAATAATGAACTCTAAAGAATCAAGGTCATGTCAATTTTTCAATGCCTTGATTGTTTATCCGTTTGAATACTGTAACTCTTCTATGAAGGGGTGATTGATCTATTGGATTTATTTGATATAGGTGTGCTAACACTATGAAGTGATGGACAACTTCGGTTTGATTTGCCACAGTAATATTCAGGCTTGTTTCATTAAAATAAACTTCATTGTAAACAATCTGATACGTCAACTTTCTGTAAAAACTCTCAAGACTAGAACTGTTTTTATAAGCTTTTTATGTCAAAAACTATTTAGTGAAATAAAATACACCTATCGAAGTATTTAGGAATATGATTCTTGGCGAACTCTCTTGAATTGCAGCATCAACCAAAGTTTTGAAATATTCATGAGATTCGGTTTATTCAGGAGGCAAAATTACTGTGACTAAGTGAATTATATAGGTATGTTCTCTGATGTATATCTTTCAAATCCTTGGAGACTGTCCAAATTTACCTAAAATAACTTTATACTCAATATTTTTTGTATTATCATCACAACAATCTGGATATGTTTCTATAGAATGAAAACATGAGTTATCCACGTTGTTCTGCTATTTTTCATTATCGAGTTCAGTGAGTCTAGAGAATCAAGACAACTTTTCAAGTCATTTGATTAATTCATTATCAAGTTGAATTATAAAGTGTAAATCCACAAATAGTTTCCTCTACACACACACTGTTTTGTTACTCATCTTATTTGATCAGATCTCAAGAGTATTTTGATCACTATAATTAAAGTGACCCAGGTGGGGAAACCTGAATCATCTGGAAAATATTCAGTTCTTATATATAGACCAACACAGCATTTACCTTCTTATTTAAAAGAGCAGTACAAGCTACATAAAAAATTGAGTAAAATTTACTGTTTTCAAAGAAAAAAATATTTTTTGACAATTAAGTATGTCCCATTACATTTATGCTGTATGTTTTCTCAGCTAGGTCAGCTAATACTTATTTATACAAAAAGAAACAAATATTTTAAAAAAGTTACACCCATTTTTCAAGTAAGCCCATCAAATATTGCAAATTCTGATTGCATCAGAAGGGCAAAATACCGTTTTTTGAATTGGGATAACCACTTTTTCCAAAAAACACTGCACCCACACACCAGAACCAGAACTGCAATAATCTTCCAGACGAATGTTTCACCAACCAAATTGGCGTGATCAGGAGATGAACTATACTAGCAGATTGCAGTACTGGTGTGTGTAATCCAGTTTTATTATTCAATTTTCATTATTTTATTAAGAAGATTACGAAGAAATAAAGTCAGGCCTTTTTCCCTATATTATGTATAGAGCAGTGCACAAGTTTGTCGGAAACGCAAAAAAATAAAAGTAATGCCATTGTAATTATTGGATAATGTAGAAAAATGTGCTTATAACAGGAAAACTGAATTGTAGTCGATTCAAGGTAAGGGGGATGGATGGGATGAATTTTAGGAGTACAAAATGATTTTTCATGATTTCCACTGAAACCAAGCCTTCTATCGATAAAAGTTGAATATAAAAAATATAGGAAATATAAATAAGCTTTTTCCACATACACTGGAGTGAGAGTAAAATTGAACATTTCTGAAATTCTACTTGATTTTTTATAAAGTTTTTATGCTTCAGTTGATATGCTTTTATTTCTGCCATGTCTGCTCTCTGACCCATGAAGCATTTAATATTAATTTGCAAATGCGTGATTTGAAGTGTGGGAAACAAAGATGTGTCGTTCATCCATTTATGTTTCATTCGGAAAAAATGAGAATTAATTGAAAATAAATATAAATAACGACACGAAAAAACTGAGCAATGGTTAAAAAGACCTCGATTTAACAATAAACTTGGAAAATACAGTTTTCATGATTTCCAAGGAAAAAAGTATGAACAATATATTACTGAACCGTAAAATTGAGAACAAATTAATTAATTAAGCAAATAATTGATGAAGCTTTGAATTTTGAAAATCATATTTATAAAATTAAAGAATTGATTTCACTGCTGGAGGGAATCAGAAGAATACATTTTTTAGGTAGTCATATACAAATTCTAATTTATAATGTTCATATTCTCTCTCCAATTATATATCTCATCAAATATAGGATAGAGAAAATAACTTTGGTCTCATTTCTAGAAATTGGACAAAAGTTATTTTCTCTATCCTATATTTAATATAAATTTCCACAAAATGACTAGGTCATCAATTGAACAAGTTAGATATCTCATTAAAATTTGGTCATACTGCACTAAATAATGAATGAGGTAATATTTAATAAACCATGGGATACTCCATCTCTGGAATTATACAAAATGACTAATATTATGACTTTGAATCAATTATTACTCTTTAAAAAAGCTAAATTCGTATATAAATTGTTTAAAAATCTCCTGAAAAGTAATATTCGTTCATATATTTTCCAAAAATACAGTGCTTTTCAGATAAAATTATCCACCTTTAATAACTTTTGTAATACTGGTATTTAGGAAAAACACGTCAATTTATGTTGGAAGGGGCAAGCATTATGGCTTATTTAAACTTACTGGAAAAGCCACCCCCTCACCCCTAGCATCATCCCTTTTTTTTCTTCATATATGTGCAACGTCTTC